CAGAACTGAACACAAAGTGTGGTCTAACCAGGGGTTTAGAGAGCTGCAGCATAACCTCACAGCTCTTAAACTCAATTCCCCTGCCAATGAAAGCCAACACACCCTACGCCTTCTTTACAACCCTATCAACTTGGGTGGTAACTTTGAGGGACCTGTGGACGTGGACCCCAAGATCCCTCTGTTCCTCCGCACTGCCAAGAATCCTGCCATTAACCCTGTATTCTGCATTCAAATTCGACCTTCCAAAATGAATCACTTCACACTTTTCTGGTTTGAATTCCATCTGCCACTTCTTTGCCCAGCTCTGTATCCTGTCAATGTCGCATTGCAACCTACAACAGCCCTCCATGCTATCCACAACTCCACCAACCTTCGTGTCATTGGCAAACTTACTAACCCACCCTTCCACTTCCTCTTCCAAGCCATTTATAAAGATCACAAAGAGCAGAGGTCCCAGAACAGATCCCTGCGGAACACCACTGGTCACCGAGCTCCAGGCTGAATACTTTCCATCTACTACCACCCTCTGTCTTCTATTGGACAGCCAGTTTTGTATCCAGACAGCCAAATTTCCCTGAATCCCATGCCTCCTTACTTAGTTAATGGTCAATGTCAGTTGCTACCTAAGTGACATGAATTCTAGATGATGTGCTCAGAAATTGACATTTACTTTGAGAACAATTTAATTTTGATTGTTTTCCATCCGGTTCGGATATATTGTGATCCAGAAAAAAAAGGCACAGCTAAACAACATGTATTCAGATAGGATGTCATTGTTTCCAATTAAGTGCTGCAATGTTGAGGTCCTTTGTAGTTGTATGCAGGATTTTTCTGTTCTCTGTACTTTTCCACAGCTGTTCAAGTCTCTTCCAGCTTTTCCAGTGTCAAATTAGCTCTTGTCTGCAGTACAGTTAGTGGCCACTGCTTTGGCTGGTCATAGATATGTACGACCATATTCTCCTGCCTGACATTTGGAAAGGCTGCTCTAGTGCTTGAGAATGGGACCGTACGGCTGAACATTCTATGTAAAAGGGTGGGGATCATAGAAAACATCGCAGCCGACATCAACACACTCATTATTGACCCTGAATAGAAGTTTTGGAGGTAATTTAAAGTAGGTTTCCTGGCTCAGTGGCCCCCGAGCGCACAATGAGCAGGAAAATGAATAAAGAAGCCTCCTGGTATTTTTTTTGCACGTTGAAATTAAAGTGACAGGATTGAGTGGACTCGTGTCTCTTTGCCCAATGATTTCTTATTCACTCTGCTCCCGTGAACCTTCTTCCATTAGTTTATTCCATTTCGTTCTGATATTTATAACAAATCTTATACCAGTGCCAGGGATGTCCCACTGACCTAAGCACCTCTCATATTGTTGGGGACTTGCAATAAAAAGAGGTACTGCTGAGAATATTTGTAACCAGGAATGTACTGGCTGAAGCTCTTTCGGAAGAAAATACATTTTTAGAGCAGAGCAGAATAGATGCATGATTTCTGGCTGTGAAGATTCTTTTTGGACGCAAAACCAGAGGAAAACAGAAATTAGAAAGTGATCTTTTAAAAAAGTTTGTTTACAGGAATGTGGGCGTCTCAGGCTAAACCAGGATTTATTGCTCATTTCTTCATTATTCAGAGGACATTTGACAGGTGAGGACAACAAATTTCCTTCCCTGAAGGACATCAGTCAACCAAATGGGATTTTATCACAATTGATAGTGGTTAATGCAGTCATCGTTAGGTCAGCTTTTTAATTCCAGATTTTTGTTGAATTCAAATTTCACCATCTGTCGTGGTGGGATTCAAACCCATGTCCCCGGACCATTAGCCTGGGTTTCTGGATTACTAGTTCAATGGTATTACAACTCCTCCACTGCCTCCCTGTGTGGGGTTGTGAAAAGATCAAGGCGTGCAAGAGACTATGGCTAAGAATGTTTGTGTATTCAACCACATGATTTCCCAACTGGCCTGATTTCTGACCTCTTGGAAATTCTGTAAACACGTGTTCCCAGAGTCATACCAGAGCTGAAACATTAACTCTGTTCCTCTCTTCACTGACACTGGCAGACCTGCTGAGTCTCTCCAGCATTCAGAGCTTCAGCATCCATAGTATCAGAGATAGTAGGAACTGCAGATGCTGGAGAATCCGAGACAACAAGGTGCAGGGCTGGATGAACACAGCAGGCCAAGCAGCATCATAGGAGCAGAGAGGCTGACGTATATCATAGTATATTGCTTTTACTAGCTTTTCCACCCACCCTCTGGCCAAGCTTTTACCCCCAAGTATTTCTTACCCATGGTGTTAATGATTCCTGGCCCATTAACCCCCTCAGCTCCCACCCCCACATGTTAGCATGCTTTGTCTCAACTCACCTGCACTGAGGTCTTTGTATCCTAGCTACTCTCACAGCCGAGGGCCCCCAACAGTTCTCAAACAGTCTCCCATCCAGCAATCTGAATGTTTCCCATACTGAGTGATTCCTGGTCCGATTGTATTGATCACTTATCTGTGTGTACATATATCCTTTCTCATCTTTCACCTGCATGTCTTCACTCCATCTGTTTGCTGCCTGTGACAGATCTAGATCGAATGACTCCTAAGGACACATTAGCATCCTGTAGTCCAAAAATCTGAGAAGCCTACTCCATCGTTGATAGGAAACATAGGACCCGCAAAAAGCAGTTTATGGTGGGAGGGCTAAGGACTGGGAACCTGAAATGTTTGACCTTAGACAGTATTCCCAGAGTCTCTGCAAATCTCCCAGCAGGTTTGGTTGGGCAATTGAGAGACGTTGCCCAGAAATTGATGAATGCACCATCTTCAAAGGACAATTCACAGAGCCCAGGGTTGAAATATCGAATTCCTGATCTTCCAATACTAAGCTAGATGGCAGACAAAGGGTAAGCAGTTCCCTGACAACTTGGAGTTTTGTTTTCGGGTTTATTAAAGTAGATTACAACCTCTGATTGTCATTACCATTGCTTCAGTACACTCATTCACTCAGCAGCATTCTTTGTAGTTTAGTGAATGCAACAACATCAAAATATTGATGGTGACATCAGGTCATACCCCTGTATCTTCTGGACTTTTGGCCCAATTAAAAAAACTGAACCTTTAAAGCTGCTGTTCAATGGATTCCGATGTTAATTCTGGAAATTTCTGCCAGTTCCATGTGAGAAGGTAGGAATCAGAGGCAGAAATTAAGGCAAGATTTTAGGGATTGGCTTTGCCCTGGAAAACTGAAGAAGCTGGAAAAGGAGACAGGTAGATAATGAATTCAAACTTCCCAGCCAAATCCCAACAGCTGGCATTTGACCAGCCTCAAAGTGATGTTGAGATTTTCCTTTAAAATGGCTATTTCAAGCTTAAATTTCCTTAAATTTGAAATCTTCAGTTGCCAGGTGAATTCCTGAAAGCCTGTGAGAAACCCATCAAATCAATCAGCTCTTGAGTTCTGAGGAAACCTTCTGTCGAGGTGAGAACGGTTTGATAGATAAGTTTAAAAGTTGATGCCAAGTTCAAAGTTCTAATTAGACACTGTATAAGGAATGTATGGTTCAATCATAAGGGTCTATCTTTAAAATGTAAGTCTTCTTTAAATTACTCAGAGCTATGTAAGGTTTAATATGCATTAGGGTACCTCTCCAGTGGGTAAGTTGAACAACATTAGGAATTGGATATGAATGTGTCACCTGGAATCTCTGCTTTCATCTCTACACTGATCTCAAAGTCCAGAAATCCTTTGAGCATCTGAAAGAGCTGAACAGGTGCCTAACTTTACTTGAATGTCCATCTATTGAACCTTTGTAAAAATGAACAGATGTGAGTAAAGCGCCATTGCATTGAGCTCTGGGGAATTGGGACTTATGCAATGGAATCTCATTAAGAACACTTGACTAAGCTCAAAGCACCACCAAGGAATAAAACTAAGCAAACATTGGTTACACATCTGTGAATGGGTCTGAACTTTATTTGCTTAACAGTTTCATGAGCAGTTGCTAGGATTGAAATATTTTGAAGAGACTTTTAAATGACAGATTGATAAACACTGATTTTGAAGAAAGTTTGCATGTCAGTATGCTTGGCATTTATTTGACATTGTTCCGAAAAGGAACAATTCTTTTCAAGTGAAGTTTGAATGTATGACTACTTACTTATTTACTCCATGAGTATTTCAAATACTTCTAGATTTTGATATATGGCTCATAAATTCTGTACATAGTAGGTTCTGGATGAACAGGTTTGGAGGAGGTATTGGGGAATTTGAGGGAGCATAGGGTGGTAAAGACTGAGGGAAGATGTGAGGTGATGGGTGAGGTCCCAACAATGTTCCTCAGAACTGGACTTACATCCAGTGCATGGAAATGGATAATATAACCTGCTAGCTGAGGTATTTACCCATCTTCAATCCCACCTTGTGCCTGTTACATGAGATGGCAACCTTGAAATCAACCTGCCCCAACTCTTCAGAGGCAAAATAACACAGGCATGTTGGTTGATTCAGAACGTAACTTTAGAAATGAGCTGAGTTGTGATTCTCAAGTCTGTCATGAAAATTTGGCCCTAAAATAAGTTTAATGTTAATTATGATATATATATAGGAAAGTAGCTCCTTATGTTCAGATTTATCATTAAGATGATTGTTTGTTTCAGAGCCAGGGTACGTGATCAGAAAGCTAAGGAAACAGGCATGTGGCATCAAAGCGGATTGGGTGCGAGATGGAGAAATATTCAAAGTAGGCAAGTAGGCCTTGTTTGGAGCACTGGAGGCAAAGTTGCCATTGGGAAACACTCCATGCAGCTGTCAAAGAAAACAGACTGTGAGCTGAGATACTCATGAATTTCCTGCACAAGTAACAGAAATGATGGGTTGGTTGACCAGTGACAGAACAAAAGAAGAGAGCATTTGATGTTATTTTTCTTACAGCCTGAAAATTAATTGCAAAACCAATAGTCAGTCAAATCTTGTTTGGTTTTAAAAACAAATAGCATTGCAATGACTGACCTTATCACCTTCTTCCACATCACAGATCCTCTCCCCAGATGCTGGGTTGAAGATAGCAAACTTTTTTCTGCTCACAGATTCGTGCCATTCATTGTTGATGAAGATCTATCAGAAAGAACAAGCGGAGATGAAATCAAAACTCAGTTATAATATTGGTTATAGAAAGATGTTGATGTTTAAAGTTTGAGAAGATTTGTAGATCGGGTTGTGGATAAGTTTGCAGACTTGTTTGCCAAGCGAGTGTGGTTTTGTCACCCTGCTAGGTAACATTGTCAGTGTGCCTCCAGTGAAGCGTTGGTGTTCTGTCCCACTTGTTATTTATATGCCTCAGTTTGCTGCGATGGATGGCATCACTTCTGGTTCTGTTTTTCAGTGGTTTGTATGTCGAGTCCAGTTCAATGTGTTTGTTGATGGAGCTCCGGTTGGAATACCAGGCCTCCAGGAATTCCCTGGCATCCTCTGACCAATTCTCATTGGTCTCAATGCGCATGGACAAAGAAGAACACAAATTCGACTGGGACAACACATCCATAATGGCACAGCCAAACAGAGATATGGCAGGGAATTGCTGGAGGCCTGGCATTCCAACCGGAACGCCATCAACAAACACATTGAACTGGGCCTGATATACAAACCACTGAAAAACAGAACCGGAAGTAATACCAACCACCCCAGCAAACTGAGGCATAAAAATAACAAGCGGGACAGAACACAACGCTCCACCGGAAGCGCACTGATGATGTTCCCTAGCAGGGTGATGAAATGTCCGCAATCAAACACACCGGCTCAGCGAGCAAGTCTACAACCTCAGAGGTTTATGTTGTTGTTATGTACGTTTTAGAATAGTACTGAGTGAGTCAAGGTTCAGTGTGGTCAGGAACAGCTCATGGCAGCTGAGGTGTGAACTCATTAGTTCATTAGCATTGCAAGAGATGTGTTCTTGTACATTGTTCAAACTCATCCTTATCTCATTTACTTATTCCCATAGTGTCACTATTGAAAAAAAAGGTACTTGACCTCTGTATTCCATTGCTTCAAAACGCTGGGGTATTTAACTCTTGCAATGCCATAGTCGGGGAGTCATCACAGCACACAAGAAATTCATTCCTTTGTAGAGTTATCAAATCAATACCATTTCACTGTTGTTCCATGGCCTTGTAATTTTTATCTCCCTCAAGTGCCCATCTAATTTATTTTTGAAATAATTGATCTTCTCCACTTCCACACCTCATGGGCAGTGAATTTCAGGTCATCTATCATTCATTTTATAAAAATTCTTTCCTCCATTCCTCTGTAAATCATGCTCCAAACCTTAAATTTGTATCCTTGTATAAATAGCCAGTAATGTCATGACCACAGATCGTAACTGCAGATCACATAAGCTTGTATCAAATTTTAAAGACCAACATATTATTTTTAAAGTAGACTGATACAGTGAAAATGACTGCAGATGTAAATCCAAAGGTAGCTTGGAGATGAACACTGGAATGTCACTCCTGTGAGTGTCAAAGAAGCTCCAAATGGAAATAAAAAAAGCACTACAAACTGTACTGTAAACAGACTACGCACTTTTTGGGAGAAAAAGCAGCAGTCTTGGTGAGAGACATGTTTTGAATCTTCCACTTTCAGGAATACATAAGAACTGGGGTTAAAAGTCAGTTCAACCCTGTTTGGTGTGTACTAGTGCAAGATGGTGTGTTCGTGAACTGAGGTATACATTGGTCTAAGTTTAAGAGCTAGAGTGTGATGAAGATCACAGTTAAAAAACCTAGTCACCTTTGCATTGCAGGTTAGAACTCCCTTGTAGTGCTAGAAACCAAGTAGCCAGCAAGTCAGTTAAAAGGAAATAGGACAAGAAGGGGTCTCTTCCTGAGTGCAGCCAACCAGCCACTGTCAAAAAGAACTGGGACTGGGAATTTCAACAAATCTTCAAATCCATTAATCTTGAAATTCACTACCAATGTGAATACTATCAGTAACATTCACAATAATGGTTTTACTCCTCAGAAACAACTTACTGACTGACCCTTCTATCTTCTAAGCTTTTTTTTCTAACATGGATCACATTCTTAATCTATGTTCATGTGTGTTCTGTTACCAATTCTTCTCATGTTCGGTAATTACTAAACTCACTCTTTTCTTAACCCAAGAAAGCCTTGTTAAATTGGCTTCTTTTAAAACATAAATTCATTTGGGTCTGGGTGAAAGGTGTCCATCAGGAAATATTTCCTCTTTAAATTAACCTTCTTAGGACCAACTGAGTGGGTGGGTGAATAAAGAAGGGGAGACATTTCATCCCTCCTCACCTCAGAGCTTGACAATTTGGGGCATCTTACTGAGAACATTAATCACTTGGGGAAGTGTGCTCAGGATCTGATTAGAACAAACTGGGGGCTTTGGTCATAAACCCACAGTTGAAATGAAAGTATTGGACTGAGTAAATCGTCTCTTTGAAACCAATTTTAAAAAGAAACTGCAAAATGGTTCTGTCCCTCAAGTAATTAAAAGTTTCAGGCAGGCACTTGGGATTAGAGTTTCTCCTAAAAGTCAGAAAACCCAACATTTTAAAAGGGGCAGCCAATGGACTGAAGACAATGTAACAGAGTGGCAATAGAGAGATTAAAATTTGAGTAGCAGAAATTAGATACTTCAGAAAGAGAAAGAAAGAAACAAGAGAGAAAGAGAAAAAAAGGGGGAGAGAAAGAGGGTTGAATTTTGCCAGAAATCAGTTAAGTCTAAATTTTGGCAAGTTTCATGCAGGGTTTCTCTCTACAAAGCCTATTGAGTTTTCTCAGCCTATCTTCCCAAGCTTGCCATATTAGCTGTTCATACTGCCCTGTGGTGTCCGCCAGTCATATCCCCCCACCTGCCATAGTTGGATTGGCTTTCCATTGCTGGGACCTCCTGGGATCCTTGACACCAATGACATTTTTAAAAGGCCAAGCACTGCTGTGCCTGGTTTGTGCAATTTGCCACAGACAAATCAGACAATGGAAAATTAGCACCCAATTTGCAGGCAGAGTCCTAGAGGTGCTAGTGAAAAGTGCAGAGGAAGACTGTCTCCTTTGCCCAGGAGACCACACCATCAGAACTTGCCAACCTGGTCCAAGGTTGCCATCTGGGTCATTGAAGTGTCAACAGTCTGGAGGAATGGCCAACAATGCTGCACAAAGGTCAATGATCCCCACTACGGACAGGCACAAAGGTTGTCGTCTACAAGGCAGTCATGCTTCCGATACTCCTCTTTAGCCATGAAACCTGTATGATGTATTACAAACACCTGAAAATGCTTGAGATATACCTTCAGTACGGCCCATGGAAGACCCTTATTTTCACCTACATTGAATGCCCCTCAAACTCAAGCATCTTCCAGGAAGCTGGTGCCCTGTTTCATTTTCGAGTGGTAGTGGCATTGAACAGGCCACTGCATGAGACTGCTGGACACTGTCCTTCCAAACCACACTCTCTACTCCACGTTCAACGTTCACAGGGGGGCCAGCAGAAACATTTCAAAGATGTCTTACAATCCCGAGTCTGCTGGAAGGAGACAGGCTTTGATCTCAAAAGAGCTGGGAGGATTTGGACCACCTACAATGGGGAGTCCTACTTCAGCAAAGTATAGCTAGCTCTGAAGTGAGGGGGATAGTGAAGACTGTGACAGCAAGAAAAAACTCGAGAACAGCTTACTAATGACTGAGTGCCTATGGGGAATGTGGATTTGGGTTTTTTAAAATACTGCTTCTCTCTTAGCCTTTTACTTTCCATCTTCCATCTCCTTTATCTTACACTGGGTTCAGCCTGTCTCTTACAGCCTCTACCTCTTCCCGTTTTTCTCTCTTCCTTTCTCTCTCTCTTCCTCTCCTTACTCTAAGATTCTGTGGCAAATATCCTTAAGGAGATGCAGGGGCAGAGGGACCTGTGTGTATATGTGCACAGATCATTGAAGATGGCAGGGCAGATGGAGAGAGCAGTTTACTTTATTAAGAGGGGCATAAAGTTCAAGAGCAAGAAGGAGTTATTGAACTTGTATGAGGTACTTGTTAGACCTCAGCTGGAGTATGTTCTATAGTTCTGGATGCTACATGAAAGGCAGGATGTGAATACATTGGAGAGCGTGCAGAAGAGATTTACAAAAATGGTTCCAAGGATGAGAAATCTTAATTATGAGGATAGATTGGAGAGATTGGGACTGAAGGCTGACAGAGACTGACAGTAGTTTTCAAAGTCATGAAGAGGCTGGATAGAGTAATTAGGGAAGAACTGTTACCTCATGTAAAAGGATTAAGAATGAGAGAACAGCAATTTAAAGTGGTTTCTAAATGTAACAAATGTGATGTGAGAGAAAAAAAATTAACAAAAGCTAAGGTATGGAATGTACAGCCTTGAAATGTGGTGGAAGCAGGTTTAATTCAAGCATTTAAGAGGGCATTGGATGATTATTTGAATCAAAACAACCTGCAAGGATATGGGAAAAAGACAGATGAATGGCACCAAATCACAAATGCTCATTCTAGAACCAGTGCAGACATGATGGGGCTGAATGACCTCCTCTGCTCTAAAGTATCCCTGCGACTCTGTTTCTGGCAGTCATAAGAATCTTCTTCAGGAAAAGTTCACTATTGCTTCTGTGGTGTAGTTCTTCTGCAGCTCAATTCATTGTAATGTGTCCTGAGTGAATGGAGGTGAGCTGGCAACATTCAAGGAATACAAAATCTTTGAGAAACGAAAAACTTCCAAAACAGTCTTTGTAAGCCTAGATATTTGTCTTAATAGGTTTTATACCTTAAAACTTTAGTGTCATCAGTGTACCTGCCAAACCTAGTTACAGATCTCTCTGGAAGAGATCTCCAACACACGGATGTGAAATAGAAGGGGACAAGGACAGATCACAGGGCAACTCCAGGGATAAGAGTGTGCGAGCAAGCGATCATCTGGCTGTGATTGATAGATAACAATAGAACCAAGTGAGAGTAGTCTCACCCCTGGAAAAAGGTCCAGAGGGTTGCAGAGCAATTGTGTGGTCAAGGGTGTCAAAGGCTGCAGATGGGAGAAAGAGGATGAAGATGGAAAGTTTATATTTTTCACAGTCACACAGAATTAGGATG